TTTACACATAATATTATAATGAATCTAGAATTTTTAAAAACTAGTTTTATAGTGGAATATATTTTGAATGAATAAAATACAAAAAAAAAAAGACGATTTGTCAAAAAAATTAAATGATTTATCTATGGTGTTTTTTTAGCAAACAATCGATATTATTTCAAAACAAGTTATTTTTTTATATGATCTCGATTCTTGATAAATTCAGATAGAATTCAAATAAAGCAAATCGTATAAATTAAAGTTTGATTAGTTGTGTAATTTATTACTATATATAATAAAGTTTAACCAATAATATTTTGTTTTCTCATCATTCGATAAAAATCTTTATTTCTCAGTTAGTGTAAAATAATACGATGAAAATAATGATATCGTATAGCAAGTATAAATATTTTTCAATATGCCACATATTACTTTTAATTCTCATTGATAGCAAACCAAATACAAGTATAAGTCGATAAAAACAAGTGCTTTTGTGAGGAAGTGTAAACACTATAGAAGGCGCTTTTATTTATTAACCAAATGATTTTATAGTATTTTATTATCATAGATTCACAAAAGCAATACAAAACGTTTATATTATAGCAAGTAGGTAGTGGTTATTTTTGTTTTTAATTATTTATTCTACTATAAGTATTGCATAATATGTTGTCCGGACAACATCTAAGTAAACCACAATGCACTCGAACCGTGTTAGTTGTTTAAGAAAACGTGTTATTTTGTCTGTATGACATAGATTATTTGATGTTGGATGCTTTACCAAGTTAAATCCAAGGAGAACGTGACTTCCGACCACGAAAAGAGCCTTCAACCATGTTTCGATTCACTGACCTTCCGATTTCAGAAGGCACCTTATAATTTAAGTAGGTACTAACAGTATATAAGTTTATACAGTATGATCGATAGATACAATGCATTTACCTACCTGTCCATCTAACCATCTGTACGCACCAATTGAAAAACTGCGACACACATACATGTATATATATATACATAAAATTAAAAAAAGTACACAAAATATATTTTCCAAGGACGTTGATGAAATCTTGGATATTTTATTTTTAACGAAACTCGTATTCAACCTTAAGTATAAAAATAATTGTACGCTTGTATAGCGTATTGTAAGTAAAAATAAACAGTAAATACTTACAAATTTTTTTAAATTTTCAAATTAATGGTGATTTGTTTTTTTAATCTATATCAAAGTTTTATATTAAATAATAACGTGAAAATAGAAGTAAATACATAACAAGGAATATAATCTCAAAAAAATGTATTCAATAGATATTTAGACAATTAATTCTCTTTTGAGTTTTAATGTACAAAAGCGTATTATATAATTCAAAAAATGTACACCTGGCGATGTAAGTAGATTCTAAAAACTTTGGATGTATTAAAATTGATGACAGAATAAAAGCATACATAATATGTATTATTATGGCATTATGGCGTTTATGAAAAAAAAAAAATAAATTCAAAATTTTGAACACGAATTATAGTCGGATACTGCCTAATTTGACATGTATAGTTATGATTTTTGTATAGTACATATTTTGCTGTATAGCATTTACATGAATCTACATTTTAATTTCATAAATATGAATGTATATTAAAATTTCAAACATACAAAACCAATACAAAAACATACAACAATGTAAGTTAGATGTTTTATAAAATTTAAATTTTTATGCAAAGTCGTAAAATTTTATAATTTAAAAATGGTCATTAAGTAACAAAAAATTGAAATATCATAAAAAAATCCAACGTATAAAAACAATAATATAATAGCTTGTGGTCAATTAACTCCAATATTAAAATTTAAACCTAAAAACACAAGATTGGTTCAGCTGAACCTGGTAATAGCAAATTTACAAAAGAGTCACACGTTGATCAGAGAGAAAAAAAAATGCACCGACATCCTCTTAATATAAATATGAACCAATATCATCAATTAGTGTGGTTATTTTCTTTTTGATTTTAGCTAATACTATTTCTTCATTAATTTAATTTTGTGTATAGGTGTATAGGGAGAAACTTATTACTCCTGAGCCCCTCACAGGATAAGTTTAAGAAATAATGAAAAATAACAATATATATATCAATGAAATGTATCATAAAAACATTTTAAGATATAAAAAAATATTAATTTTAATAGAAGGAAATCTATTTTCACCAACTGTATCATAAATTTGATTAGTTCCAAAAAAAAATTTTAATTACGAGTGTTTACATTTTACATAAAAAATTAATATTATCTTCTTATGTGGTGTGTCGATTTTCATGTACCTACAACTATAAGTTATTACCTAATTACAACCAGGTCGTTCAAAAATCAAGTGTTGTCCTTATGTGATAGTTATTATTTAAATTTGTTAATTATTATCTGAATAACTGTGCTCATTGTTTGTCAAATATTTTCTAATTTTGTTTTTAAATAGTACCTATTTATTAATAAAAAAAAATGCCTTAATAGCCTAAATTACTATAGATTAGTAACAAGAATAATAAATATGCGTATAATATGACAATTATCTTAAATACAATTTAAAATGATAACTTTTCTTATAATTTAAGTTACAAAGTATTCGATGCAAATAAGTATATAACGAATTACGTATAAGAAACGATTACACGTTTATTTATAAAATGAAATAATGACCTCGAAAAGTTGGAAAAAATTAGATCACGAGACATCTCGATTTGACATCGATCTCTTGAACCGAATAGTGCTAAACCTGTATTACTGTTTATGAGTATCTGCTTAAATATAATTTATTTTTATTTTTATTTGATTAAATAATATCAACTTGAGCCACATAGCATAATATAGCTTCGATATTAGGACAATTATTAGGCACATATATAGTAAAATCTAGAAGATAAGAACTTGTACACAAATTACTTTATTGTTTTTTAGACTCGTCATTAGGGAGTCTGAATTATACATTTAAACTTTTATTACTCTATGATAATTTGATGTTATGTAACACACAAACATATTAAACTATTATATTAAGTACTGTAAACCGTGTTTTAAACTAAATGTACATCATTATGTTAATAGACAGAAAAAAAAATTATATAACTTTTTGGGTCACATTTAAATTTATATATAAATGTCCATAAACACTAATTTAGATTACTATTATACGCGATTACGACCTTTCTCTACTTATTTTAAAATATCACAACGTAAGAGAAAAACTCAGTTTTGTTTGATGAGAGATCGCATTCGTATACCTGTTTTGATCTCAAGTCTAAACTATAAAATGAAGACGTAATAATCAATTTATTTTTTCATTCATTATTATGACATAATTTAATTGCTGCATTAAAGTATAAATTATATTATAAAAACAATGACGTACTTCTCGCTGAGAAGTTCTTATTTATTTTGTTTCGTTAATAGTTAACAACCAATTAAATTATTTTCACATCATTGTTATTTCTCAAACAAATAGAAGTAGGGTAGTAATTTAGAATTATCTTTTGTGTTTCTACAGACCTATATTGGTCATTGTACTCGTATAATTATGCTATTCTTCAAGGAATTAATATTAACTTTTATTTTCACTGGAAATGGTTTTGGAAATATTAATTTGAAAACAAAATGTAAAAGATAACTAACTAGTTTAATATTTTTTTTTAATTTATGTAATAATAATACGATTATAAAAATCTGATTTAAAAATTTAAAATTGAAGAAAACAATAATGAAAACCTTAAAAATGAAAAACAATCAATGTTATGTACAAAATTTACCAGGATAATTTATGATGTTATTTTTGAATTTTTTTTTTTTTCAAATAGCTATGATTGACCAAAGTGTTCAATAATGTCAACAATTTTCCTTAAACTACAATTATAGAGCATTTGTGAAATGTGTTGAATAGGTACGTCTAAAAGTATTTTGTATATATATATATATACTTTTAATAATTGATCCTTGATAAAAAGTATTTAATTGGATTGGGTGTATAATGTATACTCTAATTTTATACATGCAAGTACAGATAATTTAATATGTAGTTGACGATTTTAATCGAGTTTCAGTAAACTAACGCTACTCGAATTCACACGAACCTATCTCGTTCGACCTATAATTTCGCGAACTAAATACGTTTTAATTTTTAAACTCCGTACTTTACTTAACTCAGATAGACCTGCTGCAGATCACGAATTGTTCGTATATGCAGTGTGCCTAACGAAATCATGACATAATACCAATTATAATATAACTATCTGAATTACTCGGCTTCGCCCGTGTGTAGTTTGTGCTTTCTCAAAATGACTGTAACGACGAATAAAATTAAATTGTGAATAAGAGATCACTCGTAGGAGTATTTGGTACAACCTTGTGAAAAAAAAAAAAACTGAAAAATGTTAAATAGTTTCGTCACAAATGGGAACGTAAAAAAGGTCTGTTCTTTTACATATATAAGGATTATGTCAATGCACTACGTTACATATTATGTTATTAAATTACACGATCTATGCGGCGTCGAGTAAACATCAGAGAGCCTGGAGTCGGTGACGCCAATCTTACGACTCGTGGAAGGGATTATTATCCTCCACAGTCGTTACGGTATTAACAAAATATTATAAACATTATATACCTACACTTCTTCAACTCTCGTATTTTTCGCGAACGACGAATTACCTATCGACTATTGCAAGACCCGTCCCGTGAGATTCAAGTTCATATTATCTAAACACGCCAATCTTCACGGAATAATGTATATTTCAATATAACCAAACTCATATTATGATATATTTGAGCACCGGGAGCCCTGTGCCGCGGTGTGTGACGGATGAAGCGATGAAGTACTGGTACTGTTTGTCGAAGCGGCGGCATCGTCGTCCACCTTGGAACAAGCGAAGAAAGTGAAAGAGGATGCGTGCAGTATCAACAACACCCGTATTATATACATACTATTATAGAGGGGCCGTGGACAGACGCCGACGCTGCCGCCGCCTAAATAACAATAATATATCGCCGCGATAACTGACGGACGTCAGTCGATGGTCGACTAGCGAATAATATAGTGATAATATATCAAACCCGATAATAAATTGTGATTAAAAAAAAAAAAAATCATAATATATCTTTCTAGTTTCTACTGAATTAATATTTTTGACGAAACACGGCGACACAAAACTATTATTAATATCTAATATATAACCGTCCGAGCGAGATAGGCGACCGCAGTCGACGATCATAACTCACCTACGACACGTACCATTATTATATTATATACACGCACGCAGTACTGGTATCTCGTATTGTATTATACCCAAATACACGCGCACGTCACCTGACCGTTAGCGCCGACGTCCGAGCAGGTTTTGGGTCCATTGCCTTTGGATCCATACGCACGTTGTCTGGCCTTTGGGTCTTGACACGCTCGACGTTTTTTTTTTGGATATCCGTCGACATGTCTAAATCGTTCGGACGATGGACGTTACTGGTCGTCCTGCAGTGTATCGTCGCTTTTGTCGCGAACGAGCCGGCGGGACACGTCCGGACGCACCGGAAGTGCGATTCTAGAAACTTTGCATCGCTGAATCAAAGCCAATTCAACGAGTGCAGGAATTTCAACGACTCGTCGTTGCCGATGCCACCTGCAGCGGGACAACCTGATCAACAGCGGCGATACGCCTTTTTGTCGCCGGAAGACAATAAGAATGTTTCATTTCTACTTCAAAAAGATATGTACCGCGGTGAGTAAGAATTGAATAATTATTATTATGTTTAATACGAAATGAGATAAAAGGTCTTAATCATCGTTATCATATATCTAGTATGTATTGTACCTATTCGAACTTTTCTTTGCGTTCGGTACTTGTACGTATACGTTTTTTTTTGTTTTTTTTTTTTTATTAAAGTTTAATTTTCTCAAAAAATAACTCAAAAAAATTGTGATCAATTTCAAATATATTAGTAATAAATTTAACTCAAATGGCTTATGGTAAAGAAATATTTGAGCATATTGAAAAATGACTAAGTAGCTTTTAAAAAATCTTGCTTGCCTTCTTCCTTAACCATACAGATTTATTTATACACCACATGAGATTATTAACGAGTAACAATAAATAAATTCACGCAATAATTCAGAGTGTCCATTCCATATAGTTATTAGCAGTGTAGTATTTACATGTAATCTAAATGCATGATCTGTAAATGTATATGATGATCTTGCGTATGATTGTTTCTTGCGAAAATGGTAATAAAATAAATTTTGTACACATAAGAGCATCGTTAGACTTTGGACAAGCGTATATAAGAATTAATAATATTATGTAGGTAAAATTATATATGATCACATAGGTATATAGGTTAGTTCTACTATGCGTCTACATGCATACGATAATTTGAAATTTATTTATTAATAAATAAGTACCAAAAGTCTGATTTGTTCAGCAGAAATTTCTTATGGAAATAATATTATGTTATAGGTACGCGTATTCCATACATAAAAATTAATAATGATAATATATCAAGATTTAGTCCGTACAAGTAATATTTTATTGATTCAATGAGTTATGAATTTGTTTCAAAAACTAACAAAATTCATGATATATAATCTCTAATAATAAAATTATTATAAAAATACATGCTAACTAAGAAACTTATTTGTGTTTGTATGATACTTTCTTAAATAATTATAATACTATGGATAGCTAGGTATAGACTATGTACTAATAGTAGGTTTATAGCGTACCTAGCTATGATAAACATCGTGTTATGAAATAAATCGTAAATTTGTGAAATACGATAGTGACAACCACCTAATGAAACCACTGACCATTTTAACTTGTGAAAAAAACCTCCGATAATTTATTCAAAACGCACACACCTATCATTTTCAGTTAACAGTTCCGTCAATCAGGTCTATCTAATTAACCAAATAGAATGTCTTCAAAAATTCTAAATCATATATGATATAAATATGCAATAATCAGGTCTTTAACTATAATTTTCTAAATTAATATCAGGAAATAATAACTGGCAATGATCAGATTCTTAAATTTTACTAAAAAATATATTACTCGCGTAATAAATTTAAAAATCTTCCGTACCTATTTCCTAGTATCTACATAAATCAATATATACTTTCATAGATGAATCGTTACCTAATCTTCAAAATTAAATTGCTATAAACCAATTATAATATAAATATTTTATGTGCATACGTTTATGTATATTGAATGGTTTAATTTATGTGGTAAAATAATGTGATGGTTTGTTAAAGTTAGTAGTTATTTTGGCTCATCAAGTCCAAAATAAAACACAACTACGCAATAAAATTATTTTAATTTTTTGAAGATTTTATAGACCACATCGTTTTAATATAGTCATATAGATGATGAATATCAAATATTTGTTACTTTTTAAAATATAAAGGTAAACAGATAATATAAAATATTTTTTTTTATTTATCGCATAAATATATTAATTGTTAAAATAATTTAAACCTTTATGAAACCCTAAAAATGGTTCAAATGTAATTTGAATAGTTTTTGTATTTATGGTACCTATAAATTATATTCCTTTGATAGTTTATTATAATTAAGTACAAAAAATTAAATACAATACGTAAATATCTATATTATATTTAACAACTGAATAGACTGAATAATAAAGAATAATAAAGTTAATTTACCTAATTCATAAGTTCATAAACATAATATAAACAATAATGTAAATTAATATGGTTATTAAATTAATTAAAAACATGAATAGTTAATAAAAACATAATGCAAGACAAAATCTATCATAATGAATAGATATAATACTCTTACATCGATCTTTGTTGACACAGACGTAATTATTTATTTAAATATAATAATTACGAGTATCTTATGCAATTTTATAGAAACGTGTATTATACTAAAAATTTTATTATTCAAATATTTAAAAAATAAAATTTAATTATCTAACTATTATATTATACCTATTATGTTTATATGTTAATACAGTTTTATTTAAACGGCTTTTATAGTGTAATTTAGTCTAAACTATCGAAATTAAGTACCGTAAATATATCTTTGTTTAACGTTCTTTCTGTTATACCAATATATAAAGAGAGCACAGTTAAATGTCAAAGTAATTATACAAACTATATTAGGTATAGGTGTGAGTAATATTTTCTTAATGGCTTCATTTTGAAATATTTATGTTGTAGTTTGAACAAATCAATACAATTATTTATATAATTATATTTTAACGTAAAGTTTGGGTTCAAAATTCTGAAAATATTATATAGGTATATTCTTGCCCGTAATAACATTATTATGTAATCCGAGACATAAACATTTTACAGCGTATGATAGTTTACAGAGTGAAATATTTGTCCTCGCAAATTTATATTATTGTGCATAAATTATTTTTATTAGGTAATAGCTAATAACATGTATTATGATATTAGGTATAGGTATGAAACGTATAATCAAAAATCATACAAATTATTTTTTACCTAGTAAAACTGCGGCGTTGCATATTATCTAGTAACTATATATTACACGGACTAAAAATATTACGCCAACATCTTTTATGTTTTATGGTATCTATATGGATTGCTACAGTATGTCTATCCAATAACTGTAATATTAATATTATTTCAAGTTTTATATGCAGATGATTCACTAATTGTAAATTTTATTTATAACTGAAATATTTACTAAAAATATTGAAAAATAAAATATTTAACTTAAAAATCTATGTTTGTAAATACTTAGCAATGTACTTTTAACTCATAGTTGTTCAATTTGTTAAAATTCGTGTTGTAATATGTCACATATTAGATTTGAATAAGTACTTTCAATACACAAATACATATTAGGATTTTTAAATGGAAAACACTTAATAAATTTGTATGAACTCTCTATACTTACGACATACCTAATTAGTTTAACTGTTACCATATAAGTATTGTTGGATTTAAAACGTGCCATTAATAATATAACCTAGGGAAGTTTCTGAAAACATGTTAGTTAATTTTTGTAAAGTAATTCCATTTATACAAGTTATGTAAAAATAACTTAATACTTCATTGATAATATTAAACATATTGCAAGAAATATAGACATTTATCCAACAAATGGTTTTATTCTTAACATTTAAATCTTTAAACATATTTAGGAGAAATCTTTACTAAAGTATAAATAATATTATATATTTACACACGTTTTATTAATATATTAAGAAAAGTCAGATGAATAAGTTTTGTGAGTGTATTCCTCTTCCCTCATGCCAAATGACAATTACCTATTCCATGTACAAAAGTGTCACATTTGCATATATATAAACAATACTCATGTGTGATAACTTACTTTGCATTTGGAATTAAACATGATTATTATATTTATCATTGCATTTGAATACACAGTAACTTATAATTGATTCTCTATCGTGCATATATTAATACTGTAAATTGTAATGAATGGAACGTCTCAAATACCTAACTATACTACAGCATGCAGACATATGAAGGTATATGAACTTTATCAGATAATTTATTATCATTATTAACCGGAATTGTATTCATTAAAAATTTATGTTTAATAAAATATAATTATATTATATAGGTATATTTTTTATAACTATGGCGAAATATGCAGTAATATTATAATTTATAGATACATGAATAATATAAAAAATTAGAAATTAATAAAAATTAATTTTTTCAATCAGGTTGCTTTATCAAATTAGGCAAATAATAAAAATATTAAGATAAATTAAATTAAATTAATTAATAACGCTTATTTATTGACATTTTTTCTTTGCATTTGATAACTTAAAATGTACAGTTTCAGTATAATTATAACACCAAAATACTTATAGCTTTTCTGTACAATTTAGAGAAATTTGTTTCTAATATTCTTACTTATCAGTTAATAGCTCAGCAATATCTAAGTTCTATCATATATAATTTAACATTGAGAACTAAATAAAGCTAATAATTCAAATTGTTAACTTTAAAGGTGTACATAAAAAGTATGTACTATTGACAAAAATATGCATTTATTTATTATATAAGTACAATATGTAAGATACAATTTTATTTAATAAATCAGTTTAATTTAATATACTGACATTTCAAACCCTCATTGATGACTTAGAAGTACATTTAATAATACGGAAATACGTTTAATTTCTCTACTTATTTTTCCTCTGTAAATATTATACATGCAGTAGTGCATTACTGATATTATAATCGATACCCGGTAAAATCGTTAAATTGGCTATTCGGTTGAATTTAGTTGACAATTAAAAAAATTAACACAATGTTGAATTTACGCATTTTTAAAATATTTTTTTTTCAATATTTTATTGTTACTTATCATTATACGTACTATCAACTATCGACTACTATAGCATAGTTTTATAATATCAAAAAGCAAGGAACGAGTCAATTATAATAAATAAACCAAATCATATTTTTGAATACAAAATAAAATATGATGAATATTTTTAAAAATTTTATAACTTTTATTCAAATTTAGTTAAATGTTTTTGCAAATTATAAATTATACGTTGTAAAAAACGATAATAATTGTTACCTATTATTGGACAATGCACATTTTAATTTTCAAATAAATATATTGATAATGGTAAAGTTGTTACGAATATTTTTAAAACGTAAGACATGTCTTTAATGTGAATATATTCAGAACCCTGACATAGCCTTTATATAGCTTTCCATGTAGTATAAGCTGCA